AGCTGTCAGGGGTGAGGGGCTGAACTGCAATGCTTTGGGCTTTATATCCATCTCTCTGCCCCAGGGAGGGGGAGAATCCTGAAGAGCAGCGGGAACAGAGGGTCAGTGCCCCCCAAGCCCCTACATGGACCTACAGGCAGCCCTGCCCTTCCCAACTGGTGCCCAGACCCAAAGCCAGGAGAGCCACAGGGTGGGAGATCAGCTCTCGCCTCCCTCCATCCCTACCCATCTCAATCTGTGGTGCTCAGTTGCCGGCTGAGGTTAAACCACAGCAATCTGTTTCTGCCTTTCCTTTCATGCCAGACCAATGCTTTTCCGTCCCTGCTGGTTTTTGCCAAGGGCCTTACTCTCAGGGTAGGGGGTTGGGCACGCAGACCCACTGCAGGGTGGTCCAGGGCATCCACCATCACGCTGGCTGGAGGATGCAGAATCAGGCCCTGATTTTTAAAGTGGCCAGAAACATGTAATTCACTTGAAACACCTTCAGACGCCTCCCCTCACTGAAACACAACACCAGGCTGCACCAGCCCTCCTCCTTCACAATAAACATGACATAAACCAGGTTATCCCAAGTGGTCTCTGGGGCCATCCTATGGGATTTTCCACCTGCCCCAGCCCAGGAGTACGCAGGGATCTGTTACCGCCTCGCAGCTCAGCCATGCTAACTCAGATACACTCACCCTACTGCTTGCAGCCATCTGTCCGTGTCTTTGAAAAGAAAGCATCTGGAAGCATCGGGAAACAAGCAGCACTGGGCCAGCGAAGAAGCAGCCACACTGTGTGCAGGCAACCCAGAGGTGCAGGCAACCCGGGACATGGCCAGCCAGAAGGGCTGCAGCGAGCAGCCCAGCGGCACAAGGGCTGGCATTGTCCCACGGGTGCCACCGGGTGCCTCAGCCACCAGAGCAGCCAAGCCCTGCTCCCAGTCCCTGGGGCCATGGATTAAAATTCCATTTACTTAATGGAGGCTTACAGGGAAAGCTTTACCTGTGGCTCAGGCGATGGCAGAGTCACATCTCTCTGGCCAGGAGGAGCTAGAGCCACTTGGCATGTCTGCCCCTTGCTCCAGCCTCAGAGAAATTCAACACCCCACCACTGATGGGACCGGGATGTCACAACTGTCACTGCAGCAAGGCACAACCACGAGGCTGGTACCATCATGACCACCTCCCAGATAGGAGACACAGCGCGGGCATGCACCAGCACAGGTTTCCAGGCTGCTCGGATCCCCTCTCAGCATCAGACCTGCTGACCTGTGATTTTCCCCCTCTCCAAAAAGCCAAACCACAACAGGAGTTACGGACCATTTTCCAGAGGAGAAACCCAAAGAGCAAACATGAATATAGTGGGAAGAAATACATCTTGGTATTGCCTGGAATTGCTCACTGGCTTGCCGGGAGGATTCCCTGCTCGCCCACATCACCAGCAAGCGCACGCTCTGCCGGAGGCAGCCAGGGAGCCTGGTGTTACGTCTTTATCTTGAAAGGGGACTCATTTCCCCACGAATGCTTTGAAGAGGGAGTTTAACGCTGACAAAGACGACCTCAACATCTGCCTGCGCACGCGCTGGACACAGGCTGATTCATTAGACGATCAAAGGCGCCGAGTGGTCTTTAAATGCCTGTGCTTGATCGATGTCCCATAGGAAACCCCCAAGGGAACCACCCCGGTCCCTGCCACAGGGTTTTACATCCCGTCCTCCACCGCAGGAACCACAGCCTGTCCCCAGGAGCTGAGCATGCATGGGCAACCCTGTTCTGGCCCCATGGGCTGGCAGTGACCCTCAGCCACCCACATGCCCCTCTGCAAGGGACCCATTTTTCTGCATCGACCTCCAGGTTTCCACTCCCCCATTCAATGCATCTCTCACAGCTCAGCCAGAAACATCCCCTGGCTGATGCACAAACCTTCATGAGCAAGATGCCCAAAAGATGCCACTGCCTGGAAACGCCTGCCTGAGCCCCACAGGAGCCCCAAGGTCGCCGGGTGCGGTACACCAAGCTGGGACCCCTAGCAGCTCGCCAGGTGACCCTGCTGGAGCATGGAATGGAGCCCCAGAGAGGGTGCAAGTCCCAGACCAGGGGTCCCAGGGACCCCGCACAGAGAAGTACCCCGGGAGCCAGCAATGCTGGTCTGCGATGGGGACAGTTCCATCGCACCAGGTGACACTATAAAGCCCTGCAGTAACAGACGGGACAGCAACAGGGCTCTACCCGGAAGGCATCCCCTCGGCCTTGACCATCACAAGCCAAAAATACAGGCAGCACAACCTCCTCTGTACCTCTCCTTCCCTGTAGAAGGGGTTAGATATATCTTCCCTTTTGCAACCTCTCCCTGGACCAGGATGGTTCTGGCACTCCTTGAAAACACACAGGAAGAAGAGTTTTGTAGTGTGGTGAGAAACAAGAGAGCCAGAATGCTCGCACAGCAGCAGGATCAGCCCCACAGCCTGCAAAAGGGCTTTAGCGGCACGATTTGCTGATGCCTTTCCAGGCATCTGCTGAAAATAAGAAGGGTCAGACTCTGTACACGGTGGAGCTGTGTTGGCTTCCCTGGAGCTACCCCAACTTACATGAGCAAAGAGCTGCCTTACAATCCTCCAACCTCTCCATAGCCATCTGAAAAATCTCACCTAAACATTTCATCCTCAGCTGAGAAATGATTCGACACACAGGCCTCTGGCTCCCAACCTAAGCAAAGCCGCCCAAATATAAAAAGAAAACATAATGCATGGTGATCAGAGATCTCCACAGGAAAAACATTAGGCTCGTGAAAAAGCATATTGCTCCTAATACAGAATCTATCAGGCTGACGTATAGATTTTCCTCCACAAAATATGAAACCTGGATCTGAAAGACTATTAACTCCGAAGAGATCCATTAAAGACGCCTGTCTGCAAATGGTATTTAAAAGTATTGCATCATCCTAGGTACTGTCGTGCTCTTTGGCTATGACTCGACTGCAGGTCGCATAGTTAAAACTGCCTCCAAATCCTAAAATTCTTGACGTAAAGAAAATAATAATAACGTTCACCAGCCTAGAACATGGACTTTTCTATCAGCTCCAACCGGAGTGCATAAATATTAATGCATCCATAATTAGCCTTTTTAAATAATGCATCCAAAATTAAACATCAACGCAGTAATAAATCAGTCAGGGCTCTTTGTTATAGGTTTGTTTGGGGGGGGGCTGGGGTTTTATTTTTCCCCCTCCTGTGTCAGGCACATAAAGTAAAATGCCAATTCCCTCACCACCTCTTCCTGCTGGACCAAAATGCTGGAGCCCCGATTGGACCAAATCCGATGTCATTTGTACTTAAAAGTCTTTCTTTCATTTAGAAAAATAAAAGTCACATCTGCTTTTTGATTTGCAAAATAATGACATGCAGCCAGCCCGAGCCAAAGCTGAGCTCATGTTATTGAAACCACACGATGTGAAGGGAGACAAAGCTCATCTCAAAAGTCAAGGTGAGGGAGAAAGTCAAGTTTGCAAACTCTCCTCCCTCGCCGGCACAGCGCTCCCAGGAGCCGAGACCCGCTCCCTGTGCAAAGAGCGGGCAGGGCAGGGCAGAAATCCCTGTGATGCACAAGGTTTGCAGGGGCTCTCCTCTGATGCATCCCCCTCAGAGCTCACTGCAGGTACCCAGCCAGGGCACCCGCATCACACCTGCTTTTCCCTGACCAGAGAGGAAAACCCAGCTCGTTTGCCGAACAGGCTTTGGAGGAGCCATCTGCAGCAGAACCCCCACAACCAGCCTAGATACTTTGCAAACAGCCGTCCAAGAGATCACTCTGCATTTGCTTATCTATAATTACTGATCAGCCAGAGCGCCACCATCCTCCCTCGCCGGCACAGCGCTCCCAGGAGCCGAGACCCGCTCCCTGTGCAAAGAGCGGGCAGGGCAGGGCAGAAATCCCTGTGATGCACAAGGTTTGCAGGGGCTCTCCTCTGATGCATCCCCCTCAGAGCTCACTGCAGGTACCCAGCCAGGGCACCCGCATCACACCTGCTTTTCCCTGACCAGAGAGGAAAACCCAGCTCGTTTGCCGAACAGGCTTTGGAGGAGCCATCTGCAGCAGAACCCCCACAACCAAGCCTAGATATTTGCAAACAGCCGTCCAAGAGATCACTCTGCATTTGCTTATCTATAATTACTGATCAGCCAGAGCGCCACCATCCATGGGAAGTTTCTGGCAGGGTAATGAAATCGCTCGCATTCTTGAGCTCCAAATTCTTTGCCCAAACACACCCCAGCATCTTTTCCAACGTTCCAGCAGAGCCACCTCCCCACCACTCAAGCTCACCATCCGCAGCTCCTCATCAGGAGCTCGCTGTTAGAGCCTTTAAGACACCCTGCTTAGACAGCACATCAATAATCCACACCTCCTCTATTTCATCACGTGCATATCTCAAACTGCCTAAAAACCCCTACGTGGAGTAGATGTCAAGGTAGCCTGACAAGAAAGCAAATTCACAATTACTTCCAGTTAGGAAATCATTGGGTAAACACCTCAGGACATCCAGCATGTTCCATCCCATGTTGCTGTAACTTTCCAGCTTGCTCTCCAGCAAGCCTAGGAAGCAGGTACCTTTGCAGGAAAACACAGGCTTCTCCTTTTGCATCACCAAGTCACTCCTATTAACTGTTTCCAGGAATAACAAGACGCTTGGCATTTTCGGTCACATGGATTGCTACAGTCTGCAATGCAGTAAACTCGCTTTTTCTTCCAAAGCTTTGCCAAACCCACAGCCCTGTTTTTAAGTGAGGTTCTACCCTGATGCTACATGTTCCCACACCCCCAAACCAACTGTGGGTGCTCTGGTCACCATCCCAGTTTACAAGGGCAAAAGGAGGAGGTTTCTCACTGCAAACACCACTATACTCAACTGCCCTTTCCTCTTGCAACATCAGCACCCACAAAGCTGAGATCTCTCTCCTAGTCTCACATTGCCCCACCAATCTGTTCCGGGAGCACTCTTGAGAAGCCCAGGCCACTTACGACTGATGGACGCTGCAGTTGTAGAAAACAAAATCCACTGAGGCAAACTTCTTCCCCGTCTCTTTAGATTTCAGGTAGAGCTTCACCACTCGCTTGTCCCCTGGGAGAGACCCAGGCAGAAAAAGGCATCAGAAAGGACACAGTGCACAGCCCAGCATTCAGCCCCAGGCTTGTGATGGGTTGGAGGGAGCTGGGCATCACCACTCAGCCCAACTAACTTAACAAAATCTCCCAAATCTAGCAATAAAAGGAGGGGGTTCACCCACCCCCACTCAGCCACCAAACAGGCCAGCAGAGTCCAAGCACAGCTCTGAGCCCCTACAGCTAACTGCAACCTGCTGGCACGGAGGCAGGTGCCTTGGATTGTACTGGTGGTACTGAAGGGGAGCTTAACAGTTCTGGGGTCAGCAGAATGTTCTAGAGCCCATGGCCACCTACAAGACATCTGCCCAGGAATGGTCCATAGGTGGGAATGAGGCCAGGGTGCCCAGGACTGGTGCACAGACCACTACAGTATCAGCAAGTAACTGTGCCCATGGCTTCAAGGAGAGCAAGGACCAGTTCCCCATAAGCAGCAATGTCCCTCTCCTCCCACACCCTGAGAACCCCAAGAACAAAAATTTCTTGGGGGCCGGGGATCGCTGTCACAGGAGGACTGTCCTCCTCCACATCTGGCTGTGGGGCAACAAGGGGGAAAAGGTTTGTCTCGGGCTTTCTTCCCACCCCAGGGCACAAGCTCACCACGGCCCCTGGTGATGGGGATGACGTCCTTGGCAGAGGGAGAGCTGCAGTAGATCTTCCCGTCTTCAATGCGGCTCTCGGACTCAGTGAAGTCTTCGAAGGAGCAGTTGACTCCTGCTGAGAGGTCTGGGACGTTCCAGGCCTGCAGGACCAGCTGGGGAGAAAAGGCAAGAGCATCAACACAGATAACTAGCGAAAAAGACTCCTCCGTGTCTGCTATGTAAAAGTCCAGCCAACAGAAAAGACCAGGGGTACGATCCCTCCTCCACCACCCACATGTGGTGGGGAGACCTGCTCTGGGCTTTTGCAGGCAAGTCCCATCCACAGACCTCCCCGCTCAGGCAAGGAGTGAGGGTTTAAATGGGTTAAAAGACAGAATGACTGAGAGACTCCCGTCCTCTGCCCTCGCCGTACCACAAGCCATTATACCTCACCTCTACAGAGACCAAGCACAGCATCGGGCTAAAGAGTATTTCACGGACAGGCATCCGCTCCGGCAGAGCCGAGGAGGGGAGGAATCCACCTCTTCCTTCGCAAAGTCATTCCCGGGGTCAGCAGTTCTCACTTTACAAAACGCTTGCCTTATTTCTAATTTGAATTTTTCGCAGCTTCTAGCCATTAGTTCTTGTTATGCCTTTACTTGATAGATTAAAAAGCCCTTTAGTCCCTGATATTTGCTCCTTGTAAAGGCACTTATACTCTGTAATCAAGTCACCTCTTAATCTTCTTTTTGATAAGCTAAGCAGATTGAGCTCTGGAAGTCTCTCACTGCAAGGCATTTTCTCCAGCCTTCAACTCACTTACATGATGTTTACAGGAGGTTTTCAGCCTCCCCCTTTAAAAGCTGGACTCCCACCCGAGCACAGCATTCCCGTGTTGACCACACCAGACCTCCGTGCAGCACCCTGCCATCGCTCAAGGAGATAACCACCTGAGAGGTGAAAACGGCACCCCAGCTCCTAGCTTTGCCTGAGGAGCCCTGCAGCGAGAGCTCAGCCCCAGCACTGCTTTCCAGGACACCAGGCAAATGCCTGTCTTCTCCCTGTCGAACTTCAGACTTGGCAGTATCAAACCCCGCTTTGTCTGCTAAACCAGCCCCACTCAGACCCAACCGCTCTGCAGGGGAATCTCACCCTGTACAACCCCCCCACCTCAGCATCCTCTGCAGGTCGCGTCTCCAGCCATCTCGCATTTATCTCCACGTTACCAATGAACGTTAGCCCCTGCAGAAGCGCTTTCCAAACCGTTTCCATCCGGTGACAATTCCCCTCTGACGAGGACTTTTTGAGATCTGTCACAGAGCCAGTTCTTAATCCACTTAAGACATGCTTTATCAATATTGTATAATGCTAATTTTTAATCAGAACGTTGTGTTGTACCAAGTCAAACGCCTTGTAGAAGCCTGAAAACATCACATCCCATCTTCTAATTCAAGTCATAATTTCATCAAAGAACAAAATGTGGTTTGTTTGACATAAAACCATGTTGACTGGCATTAATTATATTCCCATCCTTAATTCTTTATCAGTTGTATCCTGCACCCGTTTTTTTGCTTTAGTTTTTCTAAACCTGACATCAAACTAAGCGGTCTCTGACCATTTGGTCCTTTCTGCATCTGGGCAAAAAGAAGAGCATCTTTTCTGTTTCCTGGGCTATTCTCAACATTCACTTATTTATTACAAAGTCATATTATTACAAATATCCACAGGCCACGGAGCTCCTCAACCAACTTTTTTAGGACTCCTGAGTGCCAGATATCCAGACGTGGTAGTTTTCAAAACTTTATTGCTACTATATGCTGTTTCGTATTCTCTTCATGGTGCTAATGGCCTGGAAAATACTTCGGGAAAGTCCATCATCCTTTCTGTCTGCCCAGAGAGAGCAGCGGGTTGTGCATAGAAGTCTCATCCCAAAACATCTATTGCAGGCCAGGGTCGGAGACAGGCTATTGAGCTAGATGGATCGCTGGCCTGCAAACAGCAACTCTGATGCTGTTGTTTGTATTATGGAGAAATATTTATTGCTCGCTTGTGTCTTTTCTGAATAATCATCAACTGGTTTATTATCTCCATCAATAGGCCAGCCCTCATCAATGCCCTGCACTTTGCTATGTTTTATTTGTCTCGAACCTCTCTTCCCCTTTCTCTTTATTTGTCATATACTCATTACTTATATTTAATTGCCGCTTCCCCAGCCGTTGCCTCCAGAGGGTCAGGAGGTGGCTGGGGGCGGTCTGCGGGCAGCAGAGGTGGCTTACCGGGACCTCCGACATGGTGACCGAGATGTTCTTCGGCTGGACAGTGAGCTGGACGCACTGCCGCAGGTCGGAGGCGAAGCGCTGGGGCTCGTCCGCCCGCTCGCACCGGTCCTTGCGCGAGCATCTGGAGGGGGATGAAACCGCCACGGTGAGGAGGAGAATCCCCCGAGGTCCTGCGTGGCTCTGGGCTGACACCACGGCAAACAGACCCTTTGGCACGGAGGTGATGCCCAGCTAGGGACCTTGGGTGCCCGAGGCCTGTACGGGAGCTCTGCTTTCCCCTGGTGACAGCACTGGGGACTTCTGGGAAGTTTTCATATTCAGTTTTTCTTATCGGCACAAGGATGCCGAACCTGGGAGCCCATGGGCAGGATTAGCAGGCCCTGCCGGCATCTTCACCGTGCATGGGTGTTCACAAGCACAGCCTGGGCACTGCAGGAAGGGATGACGGATCCCTTGGACCGCTCCATCCCCCTGCATTTCGGGGCCAAAGTCGGGGAGAGTTGTCCCCAAGGAGACCAAGCAGTGGGGATGGACACAGTTTGCCAACCGTGGTTCGCTGGCGTGGCTTCAGGGACGATCCTGCGGTACTTACATGTTGTGGAGGACGCACCAGCCGCAGTGGGGGTCCCGGGAGCCCAGGCACAGCTCACAGCTCTCGTACTGCTCGCAGCTCTCCACCGGCACCCGTGTCACCTGTGGGAAACAGGCAGGGAGTGCAGGAGGACGGACTGCGTGTCTCCCTGCTGTGCCCACACCTAGACCCCGCAGAGACAGACCCAGCACAGACTCACCCTGGCCCATTAGAGAGGAGGCAGCAGCAGGGAGCAGGCTGAGCCCCCCGCCATCGCCTGCTCTTCTCCCGGGCCCGGGCAGCACATTTGCAGGCCACACCTCCACCCCAGGGAGGCTTTTACCCCAACCGAGCTCCTTCCACCATTGCACCTTCGCAGGGTTGTGGGACCAGGCTGTGCCAGCTCAGCACCACACTGGCTCCCAGCACCAGCCAGGCACCCCGCAGCTGCTGCAGCCCTGCTCCGAAAGGGTTACCGGTCCTTTATTAATTGCTCCTCCAGATTTGATTAAAATCCCCTCATTCGTCGAGCCCTTCGAGCTCTGTTACAACTGTTCATTTAATTACTTTCCACCAGCACTCTGATAACACCGAGCCGTAGTAGGGAAGAGAGTGGGTTTTATTAAGGAGAGGGAAGGAGAGGGGAGGAGAAGGGGGGGGACGAGGAGGGGGTGCAGGAAGCAGGGAGCTGCCTGCTCACCCGCCACGAGGAGCCATCAGCACCAGGCAGCTGCCCGTGCCTGCTGCGCCTGTGCCTCAGTTTCCTCACTGCTCCCACAGGGCAGGACTCACTCATTAATTAAAATTTGCAAACTTCTCTATCGAAGGCTAAATCCAGGGTGCCCTCTCTCCTCCCAGCTCAGCAGAGGATGGGCTCAGCATGATGCCTTCAGGGCTGGGGAAAGGCTGGCCAACCAGTACCCTCCTGTCTGCATACCAATGAGGATACCTGTAGCGTTCCCATTTGTTTGTCCCTGACATCACTTCAGACAGGCGGTGGCGAGGGGGTCGGCAGCGGGTCCCCCCCAGGCAGACCCCGCACAGGCGCATGCCAATCCTAGCAATGACGGTGGCCCTTGGGGGAGATCCCCAGTCCAGCTCAGTGTAGCCGCCTCCTGCATCCACGTCTCCAACACCTCCTCTGCAGAGGGGAGGCTTAGCTGAGCCAGGCCAAGGAAGAAACACAGCCAAGGGACAGAAACACAGCCAGGACAGCTGCACAGGAGCCCAAAAACAGTTTCTGCCCCTCCTGGAAAGCTGCGGGTTTCCTGCAGCAGAGCAGAAACCAGAGACAGGCGCTGGGAGGAGGAGGGAAAGGGCTCTACTTTCCCCATGGGGCTGTCTAGACAAACCCACGGCCCTACTCCAGCATCCTTCCCCCTCCCAAGCCCTCAGGCTGGCGGCCAGGAGACCTGTTACATGCCAAGCTCAGCCATGGTCCCACCCGCACACACCTCTCCCGGGCAGAGCAGTGGAGATGCTGTGAGACACAGGGACGCCACGTCCCAGCACGGCTGCCCTGCATCACCCCACCAGGCACAGTACACATCCCTGCTGATGCTGGATCCAAAAAGTGCCACTGCCGTGGCACGAACCTGCTTCACCTGCTCCAATGCAGCCCATGGATGGATGAACTCACACCATCAAGCTCTCTGGCAGGTTGGGGATCACACAAACACTTGCAAAGCCAACCAAAACTTCTTGTCGTGAGCCCCGACCGCGCTGCCAGGATGGCAGTGCCAGATCCAGATTGCATCTGTACCTCCGGTTGGCTCAGCAGGAGCAGAGGCAGGGACCGAGGTGTGCATGCTGGGGTCTGGGGGCACACCATCCCCTCCACCCCAAGGTGCAAAAGCAGCCACTCCAGAGGAGAAAAAGCCGTTCAGAGCAAGGAGCTTCTGCTAACCTGCAAAAACCCTGCTCGGGAGGGGATGGCCGGAGCAAGGAGGAGGTTTATGGCCAGCTCCCTGCAGCAAGGAAGGGTCAGGCAGCCCTCAGCTCCTGGGGACCACTGGGATTTCAAGCAGCTGCTACTAACAATTAATGCCTGGGGCATGGCCCCAGCGAAGAGAGGAGCAGCAGGGCCACAGTCAGTGCCTTGGGGCAGTGTTTTTGCAGAGAGGAGCTGCCCCCGTGCCCTGGGACAGGAGTCTCCAGGCAGCCCTGACCCCAGGAAGCAAAGGGCAGACCCCGCCAGGGAGCTGCCCGAAAGGTTTCCCAGCACACGGGACTGCAGGCTGGGGTGGCAATGTGGGCTTCCAAGCCAGGAGAGCAGAGGGGCTGCCGTCCCCTCCCCTTACCTGTTTCTCGGTCATGGCGTAGATGTGCTGGCGGTCAGGACTCAGCACCAGGTCTCGCAGGATGGAGCTGCCCTCATGGGCCACGACATTCTCGTACTGCAGCACTTGGTGCTTCCTCTCGGCCGGCAAGTCCACCAGGATCTGCGGGGAGAGCAAGGCGAGGTGAGCATGGTCCCACATGCACCACAGCCCCCACCCAGGGAGTGGGATGGGGAATGTGCCCCGTTAGGGATGCTGTCCCTCCGTCCCAGACCAGCATGGCCACACCATGGTCACTGCAGCACAGCAAAGTAGCAGCCACTCTGCAAAGTTCCCAACCCTTTCCAGAAGACCAAACTGCAATGTTTTCTTCCCTTTTTTGCATTTGCCTGGTGCATTTGCACCATGTTTATGCTGATGGCGTTCACCTCTCTCCAGGGAGGGAAGCCACATCCCTGGTTCTCACGCTGCACCCCCCTACGTGCTGCCCTGCTTCTCCCACTGCTGTTCAGCCCCAAAGCCTTTCCAACTTGCAGCATGGCACAGATAAGCCCCCAGCTTGCAGCAAAGCAGCAAACCCCATCTTGCTGCAGCGGTACCGAAAGCGGCTTGCACACTGCACCGCACTAAGCCCCAGCTAGGCAGGATGCTGCAGTGCACGCAGGCAGGGCTCCCGTCTCCCCATCCATCAGAGGAAATGCTTGGGCTCATGACTGGGGAAGTCAAGAGCGTCTCAAGGAAGCTGAGGGTCAAGAGAGGTTCAGAAAGCGCCTTTGTTCCCTGAGCAGGAACGTGGCGAGGCCTTTAATCCCCTTACGGCTCGCAATTACGTTGAAGCTCTTCTTAAGTACACTGGTTTCTGGCTATACCGGCGATAACCACATCAGGAGGCACCACAGGGCTCAAGGCACCCACCGAGCAGGAGCTAAACTCGGCTGCGCTACTTGCCGTAACCTGATTGCCACCTCCGCGAACGAGAGACACTTCCTGTTAATGCCATCGATTGTGATACCCCCAGATGCGGGCTGTCCCCTGGTACGGGGCAGCCTCAGGGGAGACAGTGCTGGAGAAATGGCTCAGTGGGTCTGGTCTGCTCCCATGAGATGGGATGGGGGCCACGCCAGCAGCTCATTCTGCCAAAAACCCAGCGGCAGGCAGAGAAGCAGCGTGCCCAGCGAGACAGAGCAAACGTTGCCCGGGATCGGCTCCACGCTGATGCTGGCACATGCAGGGAGCCAGTCTGGCACCCCCATCCGCAGGACTCGGGATCCCCCCACTGCACAGGGCCAAATCCACTGCTTTGAAGCACCCCCACAAAAGGCATCCCACAGCTCTGCCCTGATTATCGCACCCACTCCCACAGCCTGGCACAGCCATGCCCAAGCCCTTGTGCCCCCATGGCAGCCGCCCCCAGCACCCCAGCCGCCTCGTCCCCCTCCTGCAATAAATCGCTGCCGGCATTTGCATAGTTCCCAATCAGGAGGATACGGGCCGGGAAAGCAGCATCCCGGTGTGCAGCTGATTAGCATGGAAATGTATGCGGCTCACAAACAAACCGGGGCCCGTTTAATTAGAGCGGCGCCTTTGATTCACCGCCAGCCTCTTGCATGCACCAGCCCCGGATTATTTTTAGGCAGTTTTACAAAACAAATGTATTTAATTAAGAAAGAGACCCCTGAGCAACCAGAGAGTGACGAGTCCTGCACAGCAGTGAGCAAAGGGGCCGCCCTCTCCCCGGGGGACATGGCAACTGGGCTTGCAGGGCCATGCTAACTCTTGGGAGCCCACAGCACAGCCAAAAACCCCCTGTACGTCCTGCTGCAGGCCTGAAGAGCCTTTGCCATAACCCAAACTGGTCCTGGTACTTACCCGCCTTCTCAGCATCCTTTGCCAGAGCCCTACAGAGACTCTGCTCCCCATCACCCCCGCCCTGGGTACCACTGTGTGCTGGGGAACCCAGAGATGCCGAAAATCCATCCTAAAGACTCTGTCTGCCCTTTTGAGGTGGGGGAGGGGTGGGTGGGGGGTGTCCTTCTGCCCAGGTCCAGGACCACATTTTCTCCTACTCCAAACATCAGAGGAGGTCAAGCCCCAGACACCTGTGGTACAGGGCCACGTGGCACCCCCTGTCCTGCAGTACCCCTTGCCCAGTGGTAGCCAGCATCACCCCCAGGACCCAACCCTGCCTCCCCACATCCCCTCGCAGGTCGCTCCCCTCCTAGCTTTCAGCTTCTCCCCTACAAAGTCCTGTCCAAGCCAGCTCTCTGGAGGAGGATAACATGGAGCATCCCCCCTCCCCAGTGAGGCACTGTCTCCCCTCCTTGCTACGGCAACATGACAAACGCACCTTTCCAACCCTTTTATGGGCTGCAGTTGCGGCACAGAAGAATCAATATAGTTTTACCCTGGTTCTAAAATAGATCTATGGCTGGATGTCGCGCTGGCAGTAATTTTTAACTAGCGGGGTAATTTCCCCATTACATTATTGCACTATGCAGTGCTGGGAAAGAGAAAGAGATGTATTAAAAAAAAAAACCAACAGACATGAAGCACTTCCAGTTAATTTGAGGCTCCAGGAAGAACCTAAAAATACTCTCGGTAGTCAAACGGGGCTGGAGCCCAGCCTGCCACATGTCAGGGTGCTCTGGTGGGGGGCACTGGGCCACCCCAGGCATGCACATGCAGGAAACCCTTCTCTCCAGCACCTATCCACCCACTAAGGATGTTCTATAGGTGGGTTTGGGATTCAGGAAAATGAAATTTGGAAGACCTGGCAATCAAGCTGTTTTCTGGTTGGCCAAAAGGCAGGGCACGAGGCAGTTTCTGAGTAAGCTCATGTAGGCAAACCCATCCTGCCACTCCCCCCCAGCACCAGGAGATCACCGGCAGACAGACCCCTACATCATCCCATACCAGGAGAACCTGACTGCCCACAGCACCCGCTGCCATGCAGGCAGAGGTGGGAACCCAGCATCAGGGCCTTTCCGGCGGGATTAGCCCGATGGGAACCTGCTCATCCCGGCTGGCGGGAAGGGGACGGGCTGTTTGGACCATAACATGGCGGAGCGGTGCATGGGATGCACAAGGTGCCTCCCATCTGATCTCTTACAGACGCTGGGAGGGACCGCTTCCCCCCCTCTCCCTGCACCCGCAGGGTAGCTGGGGGCAGGGAAAGGGGAAGAGGATGTGGTTTAATCAGAGCAGCCCCCCTCAGAAACACGCTCCTTCCTGCCCACCCTGCCTGCCTTCCCACCCGGGGGAAAAGACATTTACCATAAATAAATAAATAAATAAACCTATTAACCTTTCTCCTCATCCTGACGCTGATATAATTACCCAATACTAATAATCACTCACACTAATTTCTTGCTCAGGATTCCTGCCCTCGCTCTTGCCTGCCTCGGGCTGGCTTCAGGCAGTGGCTCGGCGGCGCTGCCTCCTGCAAGGGGCTGGCGGGAGCCCCAGGGGCGGCTGGACCCCAGGCCATGCTGAGGCAGAAGAGCAGGAGCGAGGGTCGGCTTGTTGGGCTGCTGCCTTGTTAAGTAAACAGAGGAGACCAGAGGCAAGAAATTACAAGCTCCCTGCTGGGGTAAGTCATCTCAAAGCAAGCCCGGAGGCTGCTCTGCCAGAAACCCACATGCACGCCCTCCCCACCCAAGCGAGGAGCCCACCCCATGGGGCGAGCACCCAGCACAGCTTCACTCTGAAGAGGGAAGGGTTTAAGAGCTGGTCCCCCAGAAGCCGAGCAGGCTGGTGGAGGCAGCGCAAGGCCAGGAAATGCAAAGGCATCTCACTTTACCAAGAGGTCCCTCGCCTTCCAGGCCAGCCGTGGAGAACTCCGGCAAAGGAACGATGAGGGAAAGGATGGCATGCAATGCTTCAACCCCCAGGCACCCCGATGTAATGAATGACTGCGGCACAGCATGCCCCGGCTGGGCAGAGGCAAAGTTCTCCCCCAGGAGGCCCAGAGAGGGTTCCTGGGTATGGTCTTGTCTTGGCTGGAGAAGGGAGTTGCCATCCCATACAGGTTTTGGAGGAGGAGAGCACATCGCCTTGCTAAGAAGCATGCAGTGGTGCAGGGTCACGGCCTGACAACAGCACCGGCTGGTCCTGCTGCTGCCTCAAGCCCAATGCTCCCTTCAAAGCTTGGCTCTCCTTTACAAAAGCATGATGCTGGAGCATCCAGAAGCTTCTGCAGGGCCCAGGCCCCACCACAGCCAGCACCAGTGAAGACCCTCTGCCCTGAGGAGCTGTACAAGACAAGGTTGGGACCTGAAACCCACGTGAAAGGCAAGGAGAAGCAAAAGCACCGGGAGGACAGAGACAACACATCAGAGGAGAGATGGCTCCTTTCATTGCAGCACGCTTGCTCCCCTGGGCAAGACGCCCTCCAGGCTTGTCCAGGTGAGGAGGCACCTCCCCACTGCCATAATCACTGCCCGACTGCCACTCACCAAACCACCAAGGGGAAAATCTCTCAACATCCTTACAGCCACCAGCAATGGGCACAAGGCAGAGAGGAGCATCTCCCCAGTGCCGCCTTCTGGAAAGACGAGCGATGAGAGGAACGAAAGGCAACAGCTGTGACCTGGCGGCCACCCAGCGCTGACAGCGGGTCCAGAGGAGGATGGCAGCGGAGGACAGGGCTTTACAGCTCAGCCCAGGCCAGGGACGCCAGGCGGAGAGGGAAGGCAGCTGCAGACATGCCAAGGCTGCTTTCGGATTTAACATGCGCCGGCAGGGGTCTGGCCGGGGTTCAGGGGGTGCTGGGGTGGGCCACCGGCTCCCCACGGGACTGAAAACAAGCTCTCGGGGGCACATGTGGAAGGTCACCAAGAGACCCGGTCTCACCGCAGGGGACACCCCTGC